AGGGAAGACTGATGACTTGTAAACAGTTTGAATTGCTCTAGTGGTTCTCCCTGCCACCCCATCCGTACTCCCTGTGGGCCAGTACCTATGTCAGATGCTGGAGATCCAAAAAGTATTAGTAAGACACAGATCTGCCCTATAAGACTTTCCCACCTCTGGCAACATCAACTGAGTGATCTTTTAAATCTTAAATATTATGTAATGAAATCAGTATTTTTGACAAGCAGCCTTTTGGGAAAGTACATTGGAAGATATGTATTGGGGTTTGAGGGGGGCTAAAAAATAATGCCCATATTCCCCACCCAAATTTGAAAGCAATTGAGAGATAGATGCAGTGGGTAGGTTGACAGCAATCGTGACACAGTTTGAGCTGATTGGACAACATGGCTTAAGTTCAAGAGATAAAATGACTTAGGGTGTTTTGCTGCCTCATCTCCAAGCATGGGATTGTCTACCCAATATGGACCATTCGAGTCTACTAAATGCACACATTTACCAAGGATTGCTGTTCTCTCTAAATTGGGGCAAAAAATGGAATAAAGGAATCAATTCCCTAGTGCTTACAGTTTTTTAATAGATTAGTCTTACCCAGTCAAGAAACTTGGAATAATTGCTATTATCTCCAATCAGGCTTTGCACCCCTCAGTAGGGAAAAGGTAAGTAATGAATGGAGTGGGAAGCCATGGTTGTTACTATAGAGAAGATTCTCTCTCTACTGAGAAACAAGAAGTGTGGGGAAATAAGTATTCTTTCCTAATTTTCCCTTACCTTTTGAGCTTAATCATTAAGTTTTTGGTCAATCATCAGTGTATCTATCACCCTCTGGAGAGGACACTGACAGCTGTCAGGGAAGTCCTGCTCCTACCTTTATGAGATTGCTTCAGTGCTGTGCCTTTTTAGCTTCTCCTAGGAGTGTTGGTAAATAGTGCTAATTTTGCATCCAGAGGCCCTAAAATATATATTAATAATTATATTGTTAACTCTAAGAACATGATGTATCAAGATAAAAATTTCATTTGGCTGCTAGGTCTTTTTAGATGGGTTGCTATTTTTTGTAGTTGGCTCAGGGAAGCTCAGGTCTGTTTAATGCAGTATCTTAGTGACCATAGTCCTGTAAGTGGTGGAATGTCCGGAGCCATGAGGCCCGGCAGCTGCTTACCAAGCCCACGCATTTGCAAAAGCCCGGAAGAACTTGTAAGTTTCTATTTACCCATTATAACTATGTAGCCCTTGAAAGCCCCTGAGGGTTTCCTTA